ACACATGATGGGTACTCACCTCGCTTTACGTTTAAGTATTTCTTGGGCATTCGGGTAAAACTTGATGGCTTCATTAAGATCTTCTTTGCTTAAAACAAAAATATTGGAAAACCCATGGGACCTGTATGTTATAACAAAATTAGTTATTAGCATATTATGGTGTATTTTAATATTTGAGGATGTAAAATAAATTCGCAGGTTAAAAAATGATGGTGGAAAAATTGGAAATAAATAGTAATCAACCGACAATGGTTTTTATTAGTAACATCGTGAAAACATTCTGAAATAAAAATAAAAATTTGATAGGTATTGCGTTGAATTCTTCACTATATTATTTTATACTTCTTAAATTTTAAGAATTGCATTAGTTTTAACAAAATTTTATGAAATAATATTTCTAATAAGGAACCTAATTTTTACTAAAAACTCGATATGTATAAAAATAATAAACAAAAAAAATAGTAGGTATAGGCTTTGGTTATCTTCATTMATACATTTGTTTACCTACTGGGAATAGATTTTTCTAAAACACCCCTGAAAATGGACTTTTCACTAAAACTTTGCTCCTAGTTATTTGTTATTTTGATATGATTACAAACACAAATAATTTATATTATATGAACGCACATTTTGTATGATGGATAAGACTTTACAATCAAATTTATTATTATGGGTTTCCACTGATCAGGCATAAAAATAAACGAAAACGATTTAGAATGCGCAGAAAAAGGAAATCATATTAAAATCTAGGTATGGAAAAAGTTTTCAACTGCATAATTTTTTTGAATATAAATTTAAAAATTAATCTCATACAACTAATATAATAATCATAGGTAGATATTGAAATTAATTATACTCGAGTTTTAAATTTAAATTATAAAATTGTACCTAATTCATTCTGATTATTTTATTATTATTATTATTATTATTATTTTTTATTTCTCTAGGTYAAAATAAATTATCGAAGCCCCATGTGGGAGGGGGAGGTTAACGAAACTCATCGCTCTCTCAAAACTATAATCTTATAAACCATATTATTGTCAATATACATTGTTAATCAACTTATCAGATTTTTGGTCTATTCATTCAAAAAAACAACTAMAATTTCGTTGACACACTAATTTGCAACTCTTTTGCAAATTATAATTTTACAATCAAAGGCTGAAAGTCCCATTAATACGACATGTCACCATTTATAACATCACGTCCAATCATCATCAAATTATAATATTGGTATCGAATCGTATTGTTTGAAACTTCAACAGCCTATATTACTATCACGACGCAAATTATAAYATTACCTTAATGTATAATAAAAATTGGCTATTACCTGACGTCCGCTGTTCTCCGGTTAGTACCACACAAGCTCAACAAACTGATTTCACCAAACACTGATCCTTCCGTGAGTGTGGCTAATACTTCGTCGTCATTTTCACCACCGACTACTTGTACTTGTCCGGTTTTCACGATGTACATCTCTTTGCCAACCTCACCCTATCGAATATGTATAACATTTTATTAAAATTATGAATCCCTGTGTGAATTGAAATAACGTGTACAGGARTCCTCACATAGACAGGGCCCCACAAGGGGGAGTCAGAAGGACCCATGGTACTAAGACCAGGACTTTCAAGGGGTTCGGAGTTTATGTAAATAATTACTTCAATATATATTACAAAATTGTTTCAAAAATAATTGTTATTTAAGAGGGTCTCTGATTTAGTTCTGTACTAGGACTAAAAATATGATAGGGGGGCCTGATTGTACATAAATGCACTAATCGCAAAGAGACATTGTTTGGAAAAGATACCTTTTACTTCAGGTCACCATCGACCATCATATTATTAGCAATTATTAACTGAACCTTTCTAAAAATTTTGGAACTTGGCAGCACAATATATAGTATGGTATGGCCGGTAATATGCAGTCTATATATATTATTTTCATGTCTAGTCACATCCGTGGTAGGTATATATGTTGTTTCCATATCATAAAAGTTGGAATACGATAAATAGCAAATTTGTGCTATTAGGTTTGACATTAAAGGGAATTTAATAATTATTACCGAACTTTAAGGTAAGAATATTGTCTATTTAGATCTTGCCTTTAAATTGTATAATAAGTCAATTCACTCTAAAATTACAGTTTACAACACAAAATTGATCCAGTTGAATTCAAATTTGATAAGTAGGTATCGATCTATTAATKTTATCCATTTATGAAACGGAGAAAACACATATAGACATATAGTGTAGAGTTAACACTTATAATAACATATGTAATTCAAAAAAATAAAAAATTCGTAAAATAAATTAATCCATACAATTTGAATAAATTTAGCAGATATGTGTAAGTATGCTGCGGGGTATATTATAGCCAACTTAAAATAATGAGTAATGTACTTATTTTTTATTTATATTAATATTTACTTATTAAGTTATCTAATGTTTGAAGATTTTATTCCTACTATATGGTAGGTATTGCAGCACAAAATGGTTAAACTTTAAGTTKATAACACTTAAGACTTAACGCACTCAGAAATTTCTAATGGGTAGGTACTCACTTTGCGGCATATATAATCGCCTGGCAAATACAATATCGGACGCAATTTCAACACCAGCTCTCGTAATAATGCTTTGTCACAGTCTTTGAACAACTGCACTTTGTTCAACGTCTTCATGTGCACGTTTATGGCTACATCGGTTTTCATTTTATGTGGCAGAGAGTCCAAAATACGATTCTCATCTGTTYGAAKAAAATACATAATATTAAAGAATAAAGGCATAGGTAAATRGTATGTATAGATATTTACAATCAAGCTCATTTTATGTCGACCCACGAGTGACGATTGTCTTAAGAAATTAAGTAGTTTAAAGGCTTTAATATTTTTGCTACCTAATTTAGTTTATTAATAACTTAAAAAAAATTTTTTTTAAGCAAAAAGTTCAAACGCATAGGTTATTAGATATTAGTTATACATGTTAATTATACCTATAATTCATAAGCGAAGAATATAAATATGTTAATTCTAAATYCCAATTCAAATATTGTGAGCTGTGGCATAGATATGTGCTCATGCAGAGGTGGCCTGATGGCCTATTGAGTATTGACATTATACCTGGTCCCTGTCTACCGTGATATAATATATTTATATTTTGTATAAAATAATCAGACATCATTTTATATATTTTGAATTTGAATTATTAGGTAACAAGTTTACCTTTTATTTTTAACGTATAAAAAGTAATAGAATTTTATGACCAAACATCAGTGGCCTTTTTGTATATTAAGATTATTTAAACGTGATCAATAAAGATGAATCACATAAAATTTTAATTTATCTTAATATAATTAAAAAATAGAAGTGTAAAGGTTATTTATTTGTGATTTTTGTAATAAGAGTGTCTCTTTAATAACCCCAACCACAGGATCAAATTTTGAGAGGTTCAAAGTTTCCATAACAAGTAACAACTTATTATATCTATACCTATCCGATAAAAAATAATGTTTGAATATAAAGATATTAATGTATTATTATAAAATGCTTGTAAAGCTTATGTCCAAAATCACACTTCCCCTCCCAAATTACGTACACGGTAACTTGAAAATACTCGTAATAGCAAACAATTTAAATTGGATGAATAAAATTTCCCTGCTGGAATGTTATAGACCATCTTTGTAGAACATGGGATGTACTAATATATTACATATAGTATACAATATATTCATGCTTATTAAGTATAAAATATAATTGGTACCTAAAGTTCTTTGCTGTTCCCAAGTGAACGAAAACCATTGTTCCACCCGTTGTCGTATTCGTGGAGGTATGTTCAATTTTCTCAAATATTCTAACGTCTCGTCTTGGAGTTTCCTATATTCGGTTTGAGATCTAGTGGCCGTCGCTATTATATCACGAATCTGTAAGAAAACAATAATATAAAAACTTAACAAAAACAGCTATAATTATATAGGGATAGATAATATATTATATATTATAACAATTAAAATGTTTACATATATGTATGTATTACAATAATAATAAGCCAAAAAAGGGATTTGACACTATCATCAGTCTCATCCCTCATCAATACCTACCTACGCCTCTGCAGTATTATACAGATACAAATTCTAACTTATATGATATAGTGATATATAGTAAATATGCTAGACAGCTACAATAAATATGTGTTTATAAACTATACTACTATAGGTAATACATACCTGTCCGATTAAAATCGCAAATACAAAAACGCCCATTAGCCAACTAGCAGTCATAAACAAGTATTCAGCTTCGTTTTCAGGATGTGGATTTTTTCCGATGGATGTTGCTGTTTTGGTGGCGAAGAAAAAACATCGTATATACCTGCAGAACAATAGATAAATATTTAACGGTGAAAACGTTTAGAGTTGTTGGTTTTGGTCATGCACTCATGCTGCTGCAATTGAATTCAGTAAATAATAACAGTATATACCTGGCCAACATAATAGATAGGAAGATATTTGATAATGTCAATGTTTATTATTTAATGTTCATTGATTTTTTACTCAAGTGATACAGATATTATTATAAATTTAAAAAACTTGTTGATAAGCTGTTGACTTAATATGGTATTGAATTATGAAAATGTTATTTTAGATTCTGAGAAGAAATGCAGAATATTAATTCGATTTTCTTAAGCAGTATATCTTTTCCAGTAGAAAAGTGAATGTAGTTGGTGCATTCTGAATGTCAACAATTAAAATTCCCAGAAGTTTTCAAAAGCATCGCGAAAAACAAAAAATTAAGGAAAAATGTTAAGGTTTTTGGTGTTGTAGTAAAAATTACTGTAGAATTTAGAGACATCAAATTTTCACTGAATGTTTATACTACCATTTAATACACATTATACAATTTTCAATTTTCGATTTTTATTAATTTTTTTAGAAAATTAATATCGATAAGAATATCTAAGATTTGAAAATTTCATACAAGATTCCTCATAAATTTGTCTACCTTTATCAAAAACAAAAATAAAAATAAATGTATACGTAATATATAGTCACGATTTTTTTATTAACATTTAAAGTTTAAATTTGAATGAAATTAAAAATTAAATAACCTAATTAACCTAACCTAACCTAGATAAGGATTTCAGTTGTATTGTTGTAATTTAAAAATATTGTTCGCAGGTACTTGAAACTTCTTAACTATATATTACGTATACATTTATTTTAATTTTCGATTTTTATTAATTTTTTTAGAAAATTAATATCGATAAGAATATCTAAGATTTGAAAATTTCATACAAGATTCCTCATAAATTTGTCTACCTTTATCAAAAACAAAAATAAAAATAAATGTATACGTAATATATAGTCACGATTTTTTTATTAACATTTAAAGTTTAAATTTGAATGAAATTAAAAATTAAATAACCTAATTAACCTAACCTAACCTAGATAAGGATTTCAGTTGTATTGTTGTAATTTAAAAATATTGTTCGCAGGTACTTGAAACTTCTTAACTATATATTATTATATACAAATATGATAATAAGCAAATAATATTAATTCAGCCTATCGCTTAATACCTACAACCTAGTATCTACCTACCGTATTAGTGATAAGTGATAACAATATAAATATAATATAAAATATTCTAGACCGACAAGGCGACAAACCGTCTATAATCTGAAT